GGTATTTCTCTGGGGTATATGTGGGTGGTATTCCTACAGCACCCTGTACTTGTTTTTCCCGTTACCCAGGGATTGTGGTCAGACAGAAAGAGAATTTAGTCCATTTTAGTTTAATTCAAATTGTATTTATGTAAGTTGGTGCGGGCACATTTTTTTTTAAGTCAACGACAAAACTAAATCATTTCTACATAATTAAAGAAAAAAAAAATTCAGCAAATAAATTTTACAAAAATTCCATACGATTTTTAAGGTTAAAAATTAACTTCTATTTTATCCAACTTTCATTATTTAATAGCTTAGCCTAGGGTAGGGGTTGTCCAAAGTGAGTGGGGTGAGAATGTATTCCAGTGTCTTATTGCAAACTCTGTCAAGCTGTGTGTATGTCCGTGTGCTAGAGTGTAATTATTAAATCCCACATTCGCATATAACTCACTTACACACAACACACACATAAGCATATACACCCTTGAGCAAATTAATTGAAACAACCATTTTAGTTTCCTTTCTTTCTCCATACGGTCAGTTTTAGACCCACTGGAGTGACAGAGTGTAATCGATTTTTATTTTTTCCTCAGATTAAGTCATTGTGCAGTAATATGAATCTATTTTCGGGTGTATGATGAAATTTGTTTGGCCTTGAAAAATATTGCGCCATTCGTGATTGTATCAGATTTTTATCACGCCCAGACACTATTGTCTGAACTGTCGATTAGTTGTCCTACAGCCATTGTCCGCAATCGACGTTAGTACAAGGAAGCGTACGAAAATTGTAACACTGCACAAACACACTGGCAATCCTTACCAGTGAGCAAATCAAAATCAAAGACTGACCCGGAAAATGTCCTGATTTAAATCCAATCAAGAATCTGTGGTCAATCTGCAAGGAAAGACTTCGTGGAATGGACATACGAAGCACTAACATGTGCCCCAGGTCATGTTTTACTGGAAAATACGAAAAAAGTAAATAATAACGGAATTATTTGTTTTGCTCCAATAAATTTGCACAAGGGTATACATTACATACGGGCAAGCGAAGCAACACGCAGACAGTGTGTGACGGACAGAAAATTAGTCCTATTTTTTATACTATAGATTACACTCCCACCATACGCTAGAGGACTCCTACATATCGTCGTACACGAATGAACAGGGCAACATAAAATAACCGTTGTTTCTGAATTCCGTTCTCCTTAGAAATGTATACTCCGCGGGATTCAGTGTGGAGACAGTGAGTTTGATCCTCAAAGGATGTTCTATATTTGTAGGCTTGTGCTAAACTGAGCTCCTTTTACAAATCCGGGGTCTTCTCTCACCTGTTGGAGGAACCTCGCTCTGACTGACCATTCCTTGAGGGATGTATCCGTACTCACAACGCTTGGCCAATAACGGGTTGGTGAGACTATTTAACCCACAGTTGGAGGTTTGAATTCAGAGTTGCCGTGAGGGTCAAGTTCTCTGAGCCCTCTTTCCTCATTATGTGTTCAAGAATCCTTCGTTCCATATTTCAGATTTTGAGTATAAATGAATGAATGGTAGGACTGGGAGTAGCAGACTTGGAGACAGTAGAAACACTGCTATGGGCCAGAAAAGATAAGAAGCTGTGGAGAGCCATGGTCGCCCAAGTCTATAAGAGATACGGTATTTAGAAGAATAAGGTCAGTACATATAGCCAAACATAAAGTGAAAAATGCAATAGTGAAAATGGTTTCGGCCGTTGTACTCTCCGGCCTTCGTCAGGTGGTTGGAATGTCGAACTGAACACTTTATTTTGTTCGCTGTGGTAGACTGTTCTAGTTTCACGTGCCATGTCTAATGGATGTCAGTATTCAGTTATCTCCTGTTAATTCCCCTCTCCAAATTCTCCACTGTCTTAACCAAGTATTGAACTCTCAATCGTTGGGTCCTGTCACTAACCAACGCCTTTATCCACTGTGCCATGTGTCCTTAAGGACATCTGCGTAAGAATTTCTGGGACTTATAAACCTAATGCCTTCAGCAACCATTTTTACCAGTGCTCATATTGAAATTTTTGCTGTTATGATTTCAGGTTTTTTTTTTTTTTACCAGACCTCAAATTGCAATTTTCGTTGTAATAAATAGTCCGAATAATGTAAATAGTGCACATAATACTTCATCTCAGAAATATAAACAGAATTCATGTTGTAGTATCGATAATAATAATAATAATAATGGAACGTGGAAAATCACATTATACCTAAATCACACCAGAGGCACTACGACCTCCATCCGCCTGAACATCTGATGAGGAATCTTTATCACCCCTTCTGCTTTGTCTGTCCTTAATCCCCCTTAAATATGAACTAAACAATAATAGCTATGGATACAAAGTAAACAAGAATCTATTCAATCAGCTACTCTACATAGAGGATCTCAAACTCTTTGCCAAAGACGACAATGAGTTGAAGGGTCTCCTCAATACTGTAAAATGTTTCAGTGACAATATAGGCATGGATTTCAGAGAAATGTATAAAAGTAACAT